AACAGATAGTAGGGGTATTTCGAACGTAATGGAAAAGCTTGCAAGGAAAGTGTTTGTTCGGTATCATTTTATCGGACTTTCCAGCATCACTTACGTTCCTTTTACACGAAAGTCCATATTCTTCCCTCTTGTCATGGCCAGAGAAGATAATTACGTAACCTGTTTTATTCGTGACACCCTGTGCTGCTACGTCACATTTATTATTCGTTAGCACTTACTCACGAGCTGCTTAAATTATGAATTAGGAATTATCCAAATTTTTGTGGGAGACACGACGACCTTACGCTGTCCCTATGAATATTTATCGACGCTTTAGGGCTCACCCTAGACATGTGTTCTATGACCTAAATTATGTAAATTAATTATGATTGCTCCTCCATAAATAAAACGCGATTCTACTATCAAAGGTTAGGAGCTAATCAAAAGTAGTTAGCAAATCGGAGAACGCTGTATTTCATCTATTCGCAATGACCGTACCGAATTTGCTAAGCCACTCGTGCGTCATAAATTAAAATTCATAATTGGCAAGCTCGCCGCGTCCTATAAGTGGCTAAATTTTGATCGAGGGTAGTTATTTATCCGATGAATATCTGAACGACGGTGCCGCTGTCGGGCGCACCATTGCGTGACGGTTCAAATATTTGCGTCGCCGAATGGTTCCGAACAATAATAGTTTATGCTTGAATTTCCAATCGTTCTTAAGTTATGGATATAATCAATCTACCAATTCGATGAAATGGATTCGTCGATACGATTCAATGGGAAGCCGACCTTAAAAGTTGAGAAAAAAATCAAGAGTGCTCGCGCAGTGGAAAATGTTTCATGTGAAGACTTTTAACGAACAATTAATAACGCAATCGCTTGGGCCGCGAGTGATCCGTTTCGGTGCACCCACAAATATCGCGTGTGTTTGTTCCCTGTTTCTCTTTGTTAGATCGTCGCGGCGGCGAATCGTTCCTAGCGGTCGAAGTCCATGAATATGCAGTCGCCGGCTCGAGCGACATTCACTCTTGAATTCGAGACGAATCTGCCGTCGAACGCGGCCACAGGTGTCTTTGTATAAATATCAACGAAACGATACAGCGCTCAGCGATTGAGTCCGCGGATGCTCTGTTCGCGAAATGCCAGGCGGGCTGAAAATTTTATTTAGAATTCAAAGTATACCTTGGTACCTGAATTGGACTACGTTGATGAATAATTAGTATCTATCGAATTTTCTGTATTTGTAGATTTAACTGTCTGGACTGTAACGATAATATAAACATATTATATATAAACTTGAACCAATTACGCTCTCGACCTAGATCGTCTCTGTTACATCTCAGAGTAATTGTTACCTTGCGTAACAAGTACAGAACGATATCGCTAAAAACATTTTCGATTCGTTCCTCGAAGGTTCGAAACGAAGTTTCAATTCGTTCCTCGTTCTTCTGTAGTTTTGTTGCGCACGTCGAGCAGGAATTTCAAAACCGCGCTGGATCGGAATACCCAGGAGATTCTCCAGCTGGGAACGAGAATCACGATGCCAGGTCTTATTGAAACGACCTCCAGATGCTCCCGTGTCGTCCTGACCTCCGACGACGTGTCTGGGAACGTCCGTCGTGATTTTTCGTCTTTACCGCATCGTAAAAAATAGAGGTGCGGTAAGGACGCGCTGTAAAACGATTTTAAGAGTCACCCCCGTGGTATCTGTGACCTGGGAATCGTGGCTCGTAATTTGGCCACGGAGGAACCCGTTTGCTCGTGACTTTCGCGAACGGATCTACTTCGCGGTCGTTCCAGCTCAGAGCAGCGGAGCGGGACGATTTTAATTAAGGAAACGATCGCGCTCGCGCGTTTTATCGGGTTTCGAAGGACTTACGCGTCTGCTGCGACCGTCTGCTGCAAACTCGTGTCCTCCACGATAGCACGGCCTTAATTATTTTTCCGATACTTATGCAAAACGAGCGACGACGGGTCTCGCAATCAACGCGCAGACGAGAACGCACGCGCCGTTGGCTTCCCGTTTCGACGACCTACGCGGGGGCGTAATTGTTGCATTACTGCTAATTGTCAGCGCCGAATGGCTCGATGCTGGGCTTGGATGGGTTTGAAAATTTAACGCGGGACGCGAGTGATACGCGGTTGGAACTTCGTTACGAGTCGGAGCTCTTTCGCAGAGACGCGGAGAATGTTTTTTCGCGTAGATGTTAATCAACGCAGTCCAGGTGTTATAAATTTTAATAATGCTCCGACCCTCATCGCCGTCCATGAATTGTGTAATTACAAAATTGCCACAGTTCGCGCCTCGCGTTTTTCACAAGCACCTCCTTTCGCATGAAAGGGTAATGCGCTTTCATACGAGGCAATTAACTGTTACATACGAATATGTGAAAGCCATGCTGGTGCAAGTCAAAGTTCTTTTGAATAGGAACAGGTTTTTTATCACAAGAGGAAGAATGACTCCGCTGTGACTTTCATGAATGAAGAGTGTATAATCTAACTCATAATACAGTAGACTTTCCAACGCCGAAACTTTACCATCAGGAAAATCAAAGTAAAAGTTTACTGCTGGAAATCGGCGAATTCCCGTGGGTCCCCTGTTTGCCTCCGGCGCGCAGCAATTGTGGCCACTCGTGCAACCTGTAAGATTCGCCGTCGCAGTCCCTTCGTAGAGCAGTAATTGTCTTCGTGTAAAATTTACGCTGATGGTGCTCGCGTGGACCACATTCGTACGTGTCTCGTAATTAACCAAGTAGCATCGAGCGATGGCGTTGTCACCCTTTGCTATTATCCTTCTGTTATTTTAAATTTATATAGCGACGATCACATTTCGATTGTTGAAATGTTTTACACGATTTATTAAAAAGATTCATTGTTCGAAAATCACGTCGACGTTGCTTCAACAAGTAGAACGTGTCGAGTTAGTCGAATCTCCGATCGTGGAGTAATCTAGAAGCGACCGCCCCAATTCATTTGCATAGGTAATGCGAATATGCCACGGGATATCTACGATTTCGACGTTTGGTTGACAATCCGCACGTGTCACCGACAATTTCTCTATCTCCAGATCGCTACTGTAAATGGGAGCTGTTCCTGCAGGTAACTCGATACTCGAGAATTATTCAGTGATAGCATAGGGTGCATCCTAACCCACTTTAACGGTAAATTTGAGAGATAAAATTAATGTCAGATGTTCATATAACGTGCGATCTCTGTGTTAGAATCTTTTCGCGTTAAAAATTTCTGGAAATTGTCCTAATTTTGAGGACGTCAAGGGCAGCTACGCGTCTCGAGCACAGATTAAGCCGCTAGAAGTGACTCCACTAAACCGTCTGTATACAATTTAATAACGTAGCACATCCAGACGCTGAATATTCCGCTTCTCGATGGAAATGGATTAATCAAGCATCGCGTTCCGCGCGTATCGCACGCGTGGCAGTCGGCACGCGAAAAGAAAGCTTCTCGTGGAAAATTTACGACCAGCTGCGTCTCCGTTGCCGCCGGTAACCCTGAATAAAGCAAAACTATTCCTTTCACGAAATGAAATTCTGCCTCGACGGAGCTGTTCCCTCTCGCGAGACACACATTTCTTCGTTTCACCTCGTTATTCCGTATCCCTCTGTAGCTTATGTGGCCCGTCGACCGCCCGAGCTAACAAGGGATTCGCTGTTTCCATGTCGCGAAGACGAGACGTGTCCTCACCAACACTTGATTATCACTGAGTGAATTTTTGTCGAATGTATTAGGACATTCCTGGATGGACCACCCATTAATCGGAAGTCATTGTTTGTTAATGCGTCCAGTGATGTGATTCTTACGATGGTCCACGATTGTTGATAACTGGCGAAACTATCCGAGATTTCAGTACTATAATTCACAGTGTATGAAACGTTTTCTTAGGTCAGTCAGGAGGAAGAGATCGTCTCGCTGCTGTGAAGCGCCGTTTGGGGACGCTGTGACAAACGGAAAATTGGAAACTATAAATTCCCAGTCTCCTCTCGGGCACGGATTCTACGATTCCGCAGAGGTACGTGTTAAAATACGTCGGTTATGAACGGTGGACGACGACGGCAAGGATTTCTGTCAAGCATTCTTTTCCTTCTATCCACCAACCAGAACGTTCTAATGACGCGAATGGCGAGTAAAGGCGTTTGTGTCGGAAACGCAATAGCGCTTCCAAAACTCTGATCGGGAATTGGTTAATTTCATGATTGGATACTAATCAGTTTCATTTGATGTTCCGAACTATGGAACTAATCAATTAGCGTTGGATGCATGGTTGCACTCCCGATAATTCTTGACTAGAGTTTCGGAGATGCAATCGTCTTCCCAGTATAGATGCTCCTTTAGCCATTGTTCGTTCAACGTTTGCACTGTATTCGAATTAAATACTGATTTTTAATGGTTGGCCCATATAACAATTAACGAAGACCGATAATTCTTGCCACGATTTTTGTATTCTTGCTAGAAAATTATATTTCAATAACTATTATAGGGGCCTCCTCGTTATTAAAACTAAATAATTGAACGTATTCGCAAAGTTTGAAATTAATATATCCCATCGTATTCCCTTAGGCACTACCATTCGCGTATTATTCTTCCCGCGCCACAGCATTACTTTCCCACTGTCGATAGAGACTGGCGGTCGTAATTAAAATCGGTAACCGTCACGACAAAGCTACCTGGCTCGGGTCCGTAACCTAACGTCATTCCGAAACGGCTGATCGTGCAAATTTCAGAGTTCCCGCGTCGTAAAAGGAAAAGAGGTAGCGAGAAGAAACGGACGGTTCGCCCCAAGAAGGAAAGCAGAGTGGTAGCGGATGATGGAAGAGGAGGACGCAAGCCAGAGGAGAGTCGCGAATTAGGGGTTGGTGGCGAGGAGAGCAGTGTGCGCGCTGTGGGGTTGAACAGAGAGCCTCGGGTGCTTCCCCTTCGTTGCTCCTCCCTCCCGAGCGATCTCTCACGAACCCGCTTCGGGATTCGTGGCGGTGTAGAGACTCCAGCAGACAGCCAGTCGCTCGCCGTTCGTTCGACAACGTGGCTCGGAAGTACTGTGTCCCGTCGATCCAGATGAGTCGTCCAGGACGACGTGGATGACGACGTCGACGACAATGCCTCCACTCGTCCGATTTCGCGCAACGTGGTCCAACCCGATCGCCCAGGAACGCCGATAGAAGCGTGCCTCGATTGCGATCGATGATCGTCCCAGTGGAATCCACAGGTACCCCAGTGGTGTCTCCGTTCGTCGTGCTCCAACTTACGCCCGTCCATTCGAAGATGAAGCCTTTGCTTCCTATGTGAACTCGATCCACCGAGTCATTCGTTCGTTAACGCGTGTGAAACTGCTCCGAGTGCTTTTGTGCGAGGATCGATCAGGTTTCACGTCGAGATGGATCGAGACTGGCATGGATAGATGAATCACAATACAGAATAGTAAAAGGAAACGCGAGAGAGGCGTCGGTCCAAACGCAGGACTTTACGCGAGACAGAAAATAATGTCGATTGTTCTCGACTCCGTGGATCGAATGGATAGCACGACGGGCGTTTGCGGATCCCTTTCGATCGAAGGATTCTTAGCATTCGGCGTCCTAGTGGTAAATTTCCTGCCAGGAGATTCGACGTCGATCGAAGGGTTGGTCGAAGGTCGACTGGTTCGGATTTAACTGGCATCTGATGAAAGTGTCCGGTGTCGTCTGCCTCGATCGTTTAATCGGTGGACCGGGGAGGTACCGAGGGATCCAGTTGAAAAGTCGGGGATCCCTTGATTCGAACGACTCAGTGGGAAACGTAATAAACCGAGACAGCACAATGCTGGCCGCTTTGGACTGAGCACAATGACAAGGGAGGTTTTTGATCTCGTTGCAAAATATTGAATCGATCTACTACCGGTGAATGGCAGGGCTTAGGACGACTTCCGTGTATTCTATGGTTGGGTCACGGTGCCGGGGATCATCCCCCTGACACACACGCAGCCATACAGGGCGGAATCGAGATTGAAAGAGACAGAGACGCACACTCGATACGTCGATCTTGCGCAGAATATGAGGATGGCACGAGGAGAACTTGGCGACAAACGCGTGACACCATGAGGAAATTGTCGAGCGAATCCACGTCGATTCCGGATTACACTTTGACCTACTGGATTCTCAGGTGTCGAAGAACTCGACGCCCTCATTGAAGCAAGCAGAACGGAACGATCCACAAGAACGTTTAGTGATCGTGATTTTGTGGCCAAACGGATCGTTAGGAATTCGAGGAAGAGGATCATGGGCGAACCTTCCAACGGAAATGAGGATGACACGGTGGTCAAACGTATGTAACGTATGAACTCTTATGGGAGTAGATTAGAGCAAATTAATTGACCGGTTCCTCGTTGTAAACTGAATATGTAATGATAGAACTCACTTTCTGTGAGGTGGAATAATTGAATCGAAGACAAAATGAATAAACATCTATTTATATAAATGATTATTCGTTAAAAATTGGTGTCTATTGTTTGTATCTTCCGATCCTAAATCACCGGATTGACCTCTTAGGCGTCGACTTCGTGTCCGCAAGGCTCGCTTGACCGAGAAATACCTCGCTGTGTCAAGGGTGTAGCCACGCGCGATTTGAATTGTTAAGCGGACCTTAATGGCTATTAATTAGAACGCACTTGGATAACGAAGAAAGGTAATTCGCATCGGGGCTCCTGGAAGACGGTCGAATTAGAGGGTGTGCAAATAAGGGGCGGAATAAGAAATCCTTCCCTCGTTCTCGGTTCATTTTTCGGAAGATTAATAACGCTTAATTGAGTTCGACCGTAATTATTTGCCAGTTCAAAGTAAAGTCATAAAACAAAAACAGTAAATGAAATTTTATTTGAAATACTAAGTGAAAAGTGGAAACATTTCCAAGCTCGTTGGGTGTGTTTATTCGGGCAGTTATTTAGTCAGCTTCTATTCGTTCAACGTGAAATTTAATTTCACTTCATAATCCAGGTTGCAATGTCTCGAATAAATAATTTGCATCTAGATCAGAATTGTTCTCTCATGGTCAAATAGTTCTTCTTTTTTTTATAATAGTAATTAAATAAATGATTTAATGGGTTCCTGATATACGAGTGTAATATATACAGCAATGTGCATTGAAAAATTGTATCTTTCGAATTAAAAAAAAAAAAGCAAGTAATTACGGTACAATCCAATATTATCGACACTCCTTTTAAAATACGTTACGTCGAGCGAGCAAAGTGGAATTAATGTCTCCGCAGTAATAATTTGTTAGAAGCAATTTCGTGGCCGATTATATGGGACAACGCGACGTATTTCCAAATGATTAGTCGTCGCATTTCTGCGATACAGCTCCGAGAATTACGGAGGCATCGAGAGGGTTAAACCCGTAACAATGAACCGGAAGGTGTTACGCGGTTCTCCCATAATTTCCGTCGTGTCAACACTACTCGTAGCACGATTAGGGAGATAAGGCTGGATTGCATGCGTAAAATGCCAGATATTCGTAATCTCGTAGGTCAAGAACCGTTTAATTAGCGCTTTTGGCATTCTCCCGGGGTCCAGGATAAACTGCAAGAATAATGACCGTCGAATTTCGTGCTGTCGGCCTTATTACGACCCATTCCATTGCCAGGCATAATGCGTGCTTCCACTACTTAACGCGATGAAGCTATCGTTTCATCGGAATAACTGCTTTTGAACGTTCTATGCTCGCGTTATGATCGGAATACAGATCTCCAGCTGTATTGACATGAATGGTTCACGTGTCTGTTGTTCGAATAATAGAATAAAGTCATCGTCGGTTACTCAAGCATGTATTTTGATACGGTCTTTGAACATGCGAGTTGCTTGCATAATAAAATTGATTAAACGTTATCGACCATCGAGTCAACCTCTTGTAATTAATGAAAGTTCGTCTTCTAGTAGCCATGTTATATTAATATCGTAAAACGGAACTGAAAATTACAAGGAACTTTCAAAGTACCCTGATAAAAGGTAAACGGAAACTTATTGTACTTTTGGTGGGAGCGATGAAGTGTTCGCTCCACTAGGAACTTTTAAAGGTTTAACCAAGACGTTGGATCGGTAACCACCACACTTTGAGGGTAAGCGATGGATTCGGTCGTCAGAACGTAAGTGGTATGCAAAAAGTACTTGTCCTGTTTTCGCTAAATTTAATGCAGCGTATGTTACCTGTTGCACTCGCTGTCGTTGCGTTCCTCCCAGTGTCTTAGGAAAGAAATTTATTGCGCTCCTTCTCCATGCTTGCTTAATCGCGATACTACGCTATAGAGATAGATCAATTCAGCGTTGTATGGAGTATTTTTAGATAGTTTAATCAAGTTGAGAACTTCATCGCTTACGAAATTTTGTCTCTTACAAATTACGTTAGGAATTAATTGGAAGAACGACACACAGTAATTGCAAAGCGTTTAGTGTCGTATAACATTGGATAGCTGTCGCTGTCACGGTAACGTCCATTGTTGCAAGTCGACACACGATTCATCACGATAGGAGTCATAAATCGTTCGTCTGTAGCTCCTATTAGAATCCATTCACCCTTCGTCGCTCTTCCATGGCAAACGATACACCGGCGTAAACAAGCGCTCAATCTCGTCCACTCTGTTCCGAGCACTCGTCGCTCACACTCGATCATACGCTTCGCAACTTGCAGATACCCCGTCTGTAATTCTAATCAATCGTTCGACGGGGCTTTGCAACGTGCCTTCGCGGAATACACGACAAATTGGAATTTCAAATTTGAATTTCATCGACTGGAAAAGATCGAAACCGTGTTAAAAACATGCAGTTTGATAGTTGCAAAGGATTCCTAATATTCGATTATCCTATATCACTGACGAAACATTGGAACATTGGTTTTGGCTGCCTTTGTCAAATTTCATTCTTGCTTATGGAATACTGTTCCATTGTACAACGGAACATCTTCGTCTGTGCCGTTGGAATAATTATAGCTGCTTCGGGTCAAGCTAGAGGAGACAGAAACATTTCCGTTTCGACGGAATTTCTTGGTAATTGGACGTAATTAATTATACCATTATTTCGCTGATTAATCTAAGTCGAGTCTGCCAGGACTCGGAACTATCCTTTTCAAGGTGATGCATCGACTCTTGCGCCACCCCGTTACATAGGTAGAGCTGCGAGAACGATAAATCTTAGGAGCCACGATTTCATTTCTTGCTAGACAGAAACCGCCCCGTTGAGCAAAATGAATTGCATATTGTTTCCGTGGATTACCTTTTACGCGATTCCGCGTGTATTTCCACTTTTACATCGGAGATATGCGCGCTGGATTCCAGAGAGCGTCTCGTGGAAGTTATCCGCATACGGGCTGGATGAAAACTCCCGCGTGTTATTCGTAGATCACGTCGAAGAATAGATTTCCCGTGTATTTGCGAACAATCCTGGCTGGAACATCTGGTGCTTCCTTTTGGTCGAGGAAATTTGGCGCGATGCTCGATATTCGCGGACGTCTGTTCGCTTGAATTACGCGATCCTTCGAGATTATCTTTTATTCCGGCACGGGAAAGCTCTTGGTACACTCCTGGGCAAAATTATGGCGTGTTCATCCTCGGCAGAATAGATCTGCGATAGGTAAAATAATTTTATTTTTGCAATTACCGACGACTGGACGTTCATAAATTAATCGATGGGGATTTCAGAAGTCCGTGGAAAATTTTCAGTCCATCGCGTTGAGAAATATTTACCATCGCCGTGAAACGGGAGATTCTAATTCGGCCCAGAGAACGAATCGAAGGTGGACGTTTAAACTGACGTGACTGGTGAAAAATGTACACTGCGTTAGCCTAGACGTGCGATCCCCCGTCGAAAAAAGGCGACGTTAGATCCGCGTCCTTCAGATTTACATGCGACCGAGAAATAATGTATGTAATTGTACAGAGAGCGCAAAGAAAGACAGAAAAATGGAAGGCGGACACGTCAATGCCGACATCGAGAATGAGATTTCAACGGTACATTCTTTACCGAGGATTACAACGTTACTTTGCATATTTACATATTCAGTTATCAAGTTACTCTCTTGTCCGGGACGCACAAAAGGACGCCAGTCGAGGGAAATGTTTATCATTCCGATGCAATTAATTATAAACTACGCGACACTCTTTTCGCGATCGTACTCCGTGGGGATTCGATAAAACTATATCATGATAAAACTAAATTCATGGACCAGTGATATTTTAATTCGCGAAGACATAATACATAATTAACTTATAAGGATAAGCAAGCAATGCTTCAAGTATTCCAACCATGGTCCTTCGAATTCGGAAGCTGCGCCGCCGCGCCGTACAGTTACGTTGGTGATCCTTGACAAATCCTCTTCGGTCTCGCGTTTTTGCTTGTCGAAAATCCAGGGGAAACAAAACGTGCTCTGACATTTGGAAATATCCTGACTGAAATAAAATATAAAATTTCGCATCGCGGAACTTGTTTTAACCGACGTCGTTCGTCCGCTGACATTTAACTAGGACCGACGCCAACGTTCGGAGTGGCAGCATTTTTCGCGATAAAACTTTCCTACCGAAAATTGAAAGCACGAATGCAACGGCAAGCGTGTTTGATCGAAGAATGATACGCGCTGATAGACGAAAAGACATAGAATTAATCGAAACGAACACATCTGGACACATCCATGGAGGAGATCTCAGTCGAAGAAAATGATTCTTTAAATTTTATTTGTATTTACTTAAAATTTGTATGTGAAAATAGTCAAAGAGCCATGGAACTATACATCATTTATGGGCTAAAATTTTCATCAAAACTTTAGACTGGAATGAAAGACTTGACTTTAAAAGGTGTGTTTCTTTTTTATATGCGAAACGTGATCTGAGTCTTAAAACGTATTTCTTCATGAAAAGAATGTTCGCAAAGTTCCTGTTGATTACACAACTTTCTTACCTTGTAGGTTGCAAAGTACAAAGAAAATAGCAAAGGAAGGAAATAATCGCGCACGGTAGTGCAACGTCTCTCTCCCTGTCCGACGGTCTTTCGCTTCTCTTGCGTTGTTTCAAGTAAATATCGCGTCCGTTACGTTGTCGCGAATCGAGCGTCGTTCATTATCTCGTAATGCGTCTCGTGCTTCCCGAGTCGGGGCGCAATGTGACTGGAGACATAAGCTATTTATCAGCGACTTCCATCCTTTTTCATTAAAATATCTTATATCCTTATATTCACGGCGCTACTATGTCAAGGTACTCAGGAGTTTAAAAGTGGCGTACTTGTGACCCTCGTTTTACCTCGTTCTCCCAGCGCTTTCCACTGCCATTACTCTCGCGCGTACAGGGTGAGCCAGCCAACACGCTCGCCTCGAATAACTCGTAAATTATACGTTGTAACAAAAATTGTTGTGTACGAAAGATGCATTATTTCCGTTGCCACCGGGCTATCAGCTCGGGTTATAATTTCTTTTGTGCTAATTTAAATAGACGCGTACCGTTTGCATTTGCCCTTTCGGGCTGAATTAAAGTACTCGCCCCGTGCATTTATCATTCGATACACAGGGCCATTACCATCTTCCATTTGTCATTTTTTTTTTTATTCGTTTCTTGATACATCGATTCAGGAGGGTGCATGCAACGCGAGGTACTTAGAACGCGTATAAGTCTTGGCCCTGATTACTTCTTCCTGTATGAGCGGTACAAGCCAACAATTCGTGTCGTTGCATAATTTAGAAGTTGTTGAAGGTGAGCCTGTTGGCTGACACGCCCCGTATATCCCAGGAAATTCCAAAACAGAACAGAACAGGAGAATCGGTAGGAACGAAGGGTTCCGGGGGATAAGGAGATGATTTCTGTTCTTAAGAGGGTCTCTCAGAGTCCCCGGGGTGATGCTCCGTTGAAGCCGTCTCGAGATACTTCCTACCTCCCTCTTTCCTGCTGTGTCTGTGCCGGAAGGCCAAGAGAAACACTGTAATGTCTGTCCATCTGTCAATCCTACCCCCCCCCCCCAGCGTGCGTGTCTTCGATCCTTTTACCTCCCCGTGAGGAGAGGCCGTTCCTCCGCAAATGTTAAGCCGAACCAGTCGCTGCAAAGGAGCCGTGAGTTTTCTTTTAATTCTGAGATTGCGCAGCGACATTCGTTTCCAGCGGATGAACGCTATCGTGATTCATGGATCTCTCCGTTTTAGCAGGAAGAAGAATAGACCTGCCCGTTGAGGCCGGTACAATTCGATCCTAACGCTGTGGATAAATAAAAATTTATCTCGGAATATAGAAGCGCGTAAATTACATTGGGGTGCGAAAGTTCTCCGACAATTATTCATTTTTTATTCTTTTTCCCTCTCTGATTTAAACAAGATTTCTTCCCATAAAAGAACAAGTACGTCCCTTCTTCCTCGCTTGACAATTGCTTCGAGAAGCATACCATGCCTTCCCGTGTTACATAATTCGTGGCTCCAAGCGAAGTTCCCAAAGTGCCGTCCCGAACAATTGAACAAGTACACGGAAAACTCGTTTCCGAAGCAGATTCCTCTGTCGCCCGAGCTGGGTTTCCTTCTTTGCCGCCGTACTGGCCACGTGCTTTGTAGGTTAATATTTAACCCACCATTCGGATCCAAGGCGTTCCATCCAGCTCGTTACAGGGCGCCGCTCGCGATCCGTAAAACCATTTAATTAGACTCTTTCAAGCTGAGTTCCACCTGAACTCTTTGTTGATCGCGGGAATAAAATTATAATACGAGGGGATAATCGAATCGCGATTTCAATATAATGGTAAAGACAGGGAATATAAGATGTAATGCTTGGTAGATCTGTTGAAGATAATTCGAATTAAAGATTTAGAGACGACTAGAGTAATACGATTTCGACGACTGTCCTTGTAGCGAAACGCCTGTTTCGGCAGCCGATTGGGTCTTTATTTAACAACGGGCACCGTCCTCGAGGTGGGCCAGTCGCACTGACCTCGGATCTTTTTCCCATTACAGAGATTCTCAGCAGGGGATTTCAATGATACGCGTCTGAGCTAGGGGCAGGCGTTCTGCGCGATCGGCGAAAGGGCCAGCCAGGACGCAGCACCTCGTTTCTTGCGTACACGGAGGATCAAGGGACCTTATCGCGCGCGGAACAGCGCACCAGAGGCAGCGAGGCCGAGAGGAAAAACGCTCGGACGCAGGTATCTGGATAACGGCCATGAGAATGCCAGAGAAAATCGAGGGAACGAATTTCCAGCCAGGACGTCTGAAGATCTCGTAATTGGCCAGCAGTCGTCCAGGAACGGATTCGAGAACGGTCGATGATCGAAATGGAGACCAGGACGAACGAGTCCCTGTCTCTGGTCGGATCCATCGTGAGAAACCTGTCGCTGAACCAGACGCGACACCCGGACCAATTGTTCTCCGTGGCTGCCACCGTTCGAGATGACGAGAGCATTCTCTCGAGAAACAACGTTGAAGCGTCGTCCAGAGGCGTCGAGACGGGCTGGTTCAACGACTCCAACACTGGTTCGACGTTCTCCGATTCTTGGTTCGGCGTGTCGTCGTCGCCATTCTCGTCGTCGTCACCCAGCTCCGACAATTACACCGGTATATCCGACCTGTTCGTGTTCGAAGACCTGAACGATTACATTAATCAGCTGAACGCTTTCGTTAATTTGAGCTACGCTGGCGTGGCAACCGATTTGAACTTGAACGGAACCGTGAACTGCACGTCCTCGATAGTCTCGGGTACAGCAGCAGATGTGGTTAGAGCAGGAAAGTGCGAAGGTGACGTTGACGAGAAACCGGACCCCAACAGCTGGTGGGCTCTGATCCTCGTGATCGTGCCTTGCTTGACTCTGTTCGGCAACGTGCTGGTCATCCTCGCCGTGGTTCGAGAGAGGGCCTTGCAAACCGTCACCAACTACTTCATCGTCAGCCTGGCTGTCGCCGATCTGCTGGTCGCCGTGCTCGTCATGCCGTTTGCCGTCTACGTTCTGGTGAGTCCGATCTAAGAGAATTGAAACGTATCTAGATGAAATAGTTAAGTAATAGCTCGTGCCGTGACCATGCCTTCGGCTCTATTTTCAATGTACATGAACGATGTACATTCGTTTCAGATTCATTTAAATCTTTCTCTTTTTCACTGGGTCTCTATGGAAAGGGGAAGAGATCCCTTATTCAATTCTATTGTCATTCATAGTGTCTTCGTCATCTCTCAGTCTTTTTCGCAACGTCAATGGAGAATAATTCATTACTTAATTCCTATGAATAAATTCGTGCTCTGTTTCGTTCGCACCCAATGCTTTCTAACTCTGAAAGGGTAGAGAATTATACTATTCGTGCGGCGAAGAAACTTGTATGGCTCAATTAGCAGCGCGTGGGTGAATGCGTAATAAATAGCATTTTTGCTCACACTTCTTTTATACCGCTAATTATTCTTCATTGCGTTTTTGAAACGAAGGTTAATTTTTTAATTTTCTCTCGACAAAAACCAACCCTTTTACTCCTCATTTATTCTCCCGTGTCCCTCCTAAATTCAATTCAACTCCAAACAGAGTACTGTCTTCTTATCCCTCTTTCTATTCGTTTAAAATTGTTGAGTGCAATCACGTTCCATTACCACTACGTTGTTATCGAAGAAATCTACACGTCTCCTCAAGTTACGCGTCCAATCTACAGCGACTGCTCAAGGTTCTCCCGTTTTCTATTAATTTTTGAAGAGTCTTCGGTATCTTCCACGGCGTCAAGCGCGTGCAAGCGTATTTCATTTAGCGTTTAACCAGAGAATTTTACGGGTCGGCGTTGCACGAAGGGTTCCGCAGTTAATTACGAGTCCTTTGTCCCGATAAAAAGCATAGTTGTCGGCCGTTATCTTGGTGCGGTTAATCAAAACTGTTTCCAGATACAAACTTCTTTGAAATTCGCGGCCGAACTTCCCGCTGCAATTAAAAGCCAGCATTACTTCCTGGCTCGCGCCGTCGTAGATTTACTTTCAGCGCGCAGTGGCAAAAGTAGGACTGGCTTGATTATGGTTAAATCAAAAGCACTTCGTATTTATTAACTTAGAAGGAAAGTACTCCCTTCATCTGCGAATTAAAAAATACAGTTAGGATTTTAATAAAAGCTCTGGCTGCTCTGCATCGATTTATTTGAAATCGGAGCAACTCTTCGAGGTCCTCCCGAATCCTGTGACCCACTTCAGCTCGCAACGCTCCCATCGAGTTACACCTCGACTGTCAAATGAACGAAGCAGGCAATTCTTTTTTACGGTGCCCCTGGTATTTATTTAGTTCTCGTTTCATTCGCGTTCGGGAATAAATTTCAATCTTACCAGGAGCAATGCAATTCCCTGATGGATTTAGTCCGCTTCATTACGGAATAATTCCGATCGTTTGCGCGTTTTTTTTTCTTTTTTTTTACGAACTCGTTTGTTTCTTACTAATGTATGTGCGCGCATGGCCCTTCCCTTGGACATCAAGCAGGAAATTTCATTTTTTGCGAGGTACTGCATCGACCTCTCGAAATTTGCGTAGCGTTAACAAATCTTAAAAATTTATACATCCAGGGCGGCATTTACTTTGCCTCGTTGCGTAAGGAATTTTCCTTAATGCACTTTTTTCCGCTGCAATATTGTATCAACGATAATATCGTACCTATTACGCGATAAGCGCCGAAGGCGTTACAATAATATACAAGATGCTTGACGTTGCAAAAAGGTTCCAAAGGTTCTCTGGTCTTGTTACGTTCGAAAAGACGAATAGAATCTTCCATCGGAATCGGTAGCGACGCCTTGAAATTTTCTTATTAATTTATGTTGATCTGCTTCGACAAGGTGAACGAACAGCCTCCCTGGGAAAGCTTGAGTTTCCAGAAAATCGAGAGCAATTTTCTAACAGAGCGGAACTTTGGGAAAGGTTGAGGTGAGCGCGCGATGCAAAACTTTCCCCATGAAGAAGAATAATAATTCTATGATTGCGAGGCGGTAGGGAGATATGTTGTTGGGTGAAGGAGGAAAGATTCGGATTGAAGGGTCGTAAAAGCGTCGTAAACGTCGAATTTCTGGGCACCGAGTCATTCGTATTCTATCCGTATCGCCCATTTTTATGAGAACTTTTATCCGAGCCACTCGAAATCACGGCACGACGAAAACTCCGCATTCAAGGCGCGATTTATTCGCGCGACCGATTTATTACGGAATTGCGCGCGGGAACTCGACCGACACGTCGACGAAACAACTGAATTCGCTTCTTCGTTGCACCTTATCGAATATCTCGTCCATGAATTATTAGGTCAATCGCACTTTCACCCAGCTCAACGCGTACAATGAAACTCTACGTTAAACTTCGACCAATAGTTCGTCCGTTCGTGTTTGGTAAGATTGATTTCGATTGATAATTGTATACAAATAATAATACAAGGATTAAATGTCAAAGAATTCACTTTCTCCTGCGTGTTGTTAATCGCCGAATCGTTCTTAGGTGTGAAAAGTATCCTCGTGAGAAATAATGAGCCACGTGGACGCTAAACGAGGCCTCCAACGCTGAATGCACGCATTGTTAAAAATCTGACGCGCCTCTTTTTCCCTGTTCAATCCTTGACCGTCACGCAACTCCCCGTATCATCGCGTACCAACCGTCACGTAACAGAGATATCATTTTACGTGTCACGGGGACTTACCCTGCACAACCATAGCTGGTTATCGTTTCCCAGCCACGGCTCACGTGCACGTCGAAACACAAATATTGCGCACGTACCGTTACCCTTCCTTCGTACTAATTAACCTTTCATTGGAACAACGGTCGAGTGTAATTTATGGGAAGCGGTATAATTTATTCCACGCGACTGATATGAAATGTAACGACCGTTAAATACATGGCCTTTGCGATATGCAAGAGGCGCTCTAATATTGGCTGTGCGATTTGTCGGGAAAAGAGGGAAAGTAAATGTTATCGCAATCGAAATTAGGCAGTTAGGAAACAGTTATAATTGGAAACGTTCTCTGAAGGATTCGAAGCACGTAATTCGGATTGAGCTCGCAACTCAGGAATGCTACATTTTGTTATTGAATTAATCCCGGGGAACACCGGTGCCTAAACTTTTTGCAAAGCACCTCTCCGTAAAAAAAAAAAAAGCAAACTTTCCGACCATGAGAAAAGTAAACGAAACTTTTTCTTCGTGTGTATTTTAATTAAATTACAACAGGTTTTCGAATGAGATATTTGTGAACTACCGAGTATGGAGATAAGGAATATGAAAAAAATTTACATAATAAAAGGATAAAGAACATTATGAAATTTTTGTTCGGATTAAACGGACTAGAAGAATAGCAGAGTTTTCGAGTCGATTATAAGTAGAAACGAGAAAAGTAAGACCAAGCACGTTATCACTCGATAAAAGTAACGCTCGCAGTCGATTAATCGTCGACGCTTCCACGATATCGAATTGGCCAAGACGGTCAAAACGTTCCAGGCTTTATCGAGATGATAAAATCGAGACGTCGGGGTCTGGATATTAACACGATGCAGCGTACTAAAATCCCTCGTTGAACGCTTAAACGATCGTTCGCAAGTTTCGCATTAAACGGTTTAGCGACGTGTGTGTGCGCACCCGTAAATGCGTAGCGACGATAATATCGCGACGCAAGTGTCGTGCCACAATCGAAGCACTTTAGTCAGGTGCCAGCGTCGAACTTGTTCCCTCCGTCGCCGAAATGCTAGGAGTAGTTGCTTCTGGCACCATGTCCACTCAACAGCTAGGGAACTTCTACTTCCTTGAGAAGCTCTTTTAGGGGACGATTAAATTTTTTGGAAAATCGACTTTGGATCATAGTCTGGGTCGTTAAACTGTGTCCTCGATAAAATAATGCTAGATTATTCTTACTTCTTCAGGATTACTTTACGTAGTATCTATTTCAGTTGAAAGTTTTATACAATTCTTTTCTACGCGTGTATTTATAGCTAAAAAGTATTACAATGAATGGATTCATGTTTAAACATACACGAATGGCTAGAGTGCATCGATCTTCTATGAGACGCTAATGTTCATTTTAGCCTGTTCGTATTTTAAAAGAAACTTGCGCCGAAGGTGGTCCCTGAGGATCACCTCGGCGCGGTCCTCTTACTCGTGACCTAACGCTGATTGGTAATTCGCTTTTATCGGTCCTCTGGTAGTTCTAAGCTTTTACGGTTACTCGGATCATGACTTTGCAGAAATTTTTAAATCCCTTCCCGAGCCATTATACGGGGCTGTATCGTCTCTTTCTTTAACAGCCGTGTCACTAGTCACGGTTGCAGTCGTTTAATCCTTACTTCTCCTCGGTAAAGGTTTCAAATAAGTAGGAAGCAGCAATCTTTATTGTCTTTAATTTCTAGTTGTTCATTTTGAAGTGTTTCGTACTGCGTGTGAAATTCTTATTTTCATTTTAATTGGAAATTTGCATCCAGAGTAAGTATTTTGACCATTTCTCCGCTCGGAAGGAATAAATTAATTAAGCAAAGACTGTTGGCGGCAAAGCGCGAATAATAAGAGACGGACGAGCGTCGTTCGTAATTTTCTCTATCGCTGGCCATTTTCCATACTATAGTCGTTTAATCGTTCCCGCCCAACGGTCGTAGTTTATGCGCGCATAACTCCCCGTCCAATTTGCTCGGTTATTAGAATTTTCATCCTTAGTTTTTTATTGCTCCATAGAAGTTTTTTTCGCTGTTGCGGGAGCGAGTTGGCCAACTTGATTCGACAACACGAACGATTCATTTCGAGGGATATTCTCCAAAGAATAGGTGGTAGAAAAATGTCACGTTACACTCTGTACAGAATTAACAATGACGTGTCCAACTGAGAATTAATCTCGAACATCGCGAAATTTTTAATGCTCGAAATCGAGCTAACCCCGCAAGACGATACACGTCTCCTTTTAGCGAAGCATTAACATCGTGCTTTTCGGTCACGTAGGTTCGGACAGCATGAGTTCTGCTTCGTATTCTAGCAGAAGTCATCT